TCCCATGATTCAAAAATTCCCAGAATCATGCACCCGATTACGTCACAATAGGGTTTCAATAACATTCAACTACTCAGGCTACCATAAATGAAACAACAACTTGGCGAGAAATCAAACAACAACTTCGCCATAATACAAGGGGTACCTTAAAGTCTACTCTACTGGAAGACCATTTATAGATATGTTTTATTTTAATAACAAAAGTTATTAGTTTCTAAAATTATTTTTTTGTTTGAAACAGTGTATTGATGTCTTTTTGAGATGCTAATTGATTGTTCTTATTGCTCTTATTTCTTTTTTAATATACAAGTGTATATATATATATAGCAAAATATTTTAATAATTTAATTATTTTTATTTGTTTGATTTTATCATTTTTAAGCAGCTGAGAGATCATGGTAAATTTTTATTTTCTGTGTGGTATACTTTTGAGATTATATTTGAAATTTAATTTTGCCATATGTAGGTAAATCTTTTCAAACATTCTTGGAAACCTTTAGACTTAAGTGCAAAAACTCGAATCCTTTAACTCTTTACTTGGTTCACATTTGTTTGGTAGGAAGTTAACCTGTTAAACTATTGAAAGACGGCTATTGTTTTTGGTTTTGTCTTCAAATTCTATGAGCTGTCATTGCATTTCATTAGTAATTAACTGATATATTAAAGTAGAGAAAGGGGCAAGTGAAATTGATGTACTGAAAAATAAGAAGGAAAGATCAAACTGTTGATACATAAACTAATCATCTATAATCAATGCAAGTTTGACATGCATATATTTATATGATTTTTTTTAATCAAATAAAGCCAACTTTAAACTGCATTTTTTTATGAAATACGTTCTTGTCTGTTAAGTATATACAGTGTGTGCAAAAAGGTTATGTACAATTCAAAGTTCGAAATCCAGACATGCAATATTCAGAATGATCTTAAATTCAGGCTTTTGAATTACCAGCAATTTTTATTATTATTATTATTATTATTATTTTCTGAAATTTTTTTATCCTTTGCACTTGTGCATTTGGTATTTTTCATAATAAAACATGGAGAGTCCTGGTTCTTAATATCATTTTACTACCAATGCCAACCTGCCGATCATTATTTATTATTTTTTGCTTTCTTTACCACATGACTATCAACACATTGTAGCTTGAAAAATTAATCGTGCAGAGATATCTGAGTTTTTTCTTTAAATTTATTAATATTATTTTTTTTAATAAGAGCAGAACCTTTTGTATTGGCATTATAGTTGGTGATGATAACTGACTTCAGCCAATTCTGCTGTAAAGTGTTGCGTTTCTTAATGAGGAGAAATTTAACAGGATTTTTTTCTATATGCAAAAAGTAGGTTTTATAAATGATAATCATAGGCAAAAATTGCATGTAGTGCTATTTGAATTGAGTATAACTGATTTGTTTTGAAGTTAAGCCCAGAATCCCTGCAAAAGCTGGTTCGGTCGAACCATATGGCAAAAATTAAGGGAAGGCAGAATATTTAGAATTTAGAGGAGCACTAAGCAACAAGATTAAGGGATGGCAAAATATTTGGAATTTAGGGGCAGCAAAGTTTTAGAATTAAAGGAGGCGCTTGGCAGCAGAGACTGCAGTGGGCTGCAAAATGTTTAGTGCTGCCAAGCATTACATATATGTTTAAATTTATTTATTCAGGACTCGGATAATCCTTAAGTGCATGCAGAAAATAATCGTAAGTATAATAAATGATTAAACTGATACAGTACAAAGTCCGAAATCCGGACGTCCATTATCCGGAATGATCTAAAATCCGGATCTCAAATCCACCAAATATGTATTTCTTGTAGGCTTTATGCATGTGCATTTTATTTCCCCCTTCACACATAAAAAATATCTGGACAGTCATGATTCTTAATTTCACTTCGATACTAAATAAAATACCTTGTTATTAAAGAAACAATCATTTTAGCATAAATTTGTACGATCAGTAATTTGGCTCTGTTGCTGCGTATCTGCTTGGAACACATCTCAAACCAAAACATTCCACACAGATACATCATTGATCTGACGCCAACCTGGCGAATCACTATTTATTATACTTTCCTTTTGTCACTGCATGTTTATCAAAACATGACAACTTGAGTAATGATTCATGTAGCAATGCCTAAAAAATTTTTTTATGTTAGTAATTGAATAATAAAGGAGTATGGTAACTTTTTATGTTAACATTACGCTTGGCGATGATTACAGATTTAAGCTAAAATGCTCTCAAAAATGTTGACGAGGAAAAATTTACCAAGCATTTCTTTCCGTATCTTAAAACTAGATTTTGTTGGTGATACTCATAGACCCAAAGATTACATTTAGAGCTATTTAAGAATAACTGACTTATATTCTCATAAACCTAGAACCAGCTCCAGGGCTCCTATGGCCGCACCGAGTCGCATATTTTAGCGACCCACAGAGACTGCATCTGGCAGTAACATATCTAGCGCCGCCCCTCACTAAGGCTTAAGTATATGTGGGAATTTATTCATTCAGAACTCTGATAAGCCTTAAGCATGTGCAAGAAATAGACATAGTATAATAAATAACTAAACTAATACAATTCAGGCTTAATTGTCTCAGTACACTATAGAAGCGAGATAAAATTTAACGAAACAACTTGTTTATAGTCGCCAAGCTCATGATGCATATCCAAATATGTATAGTAAAGGATAGCTAAATTTGATGATGATAGTTGCTAATTTTAAAGGTTTTCGGATATCGCAAAACAAAGGTGAAATTTTCCAATTAATGGATTTTGTAAAGAAACGTGGAGAAGCAGTAATAAATGAAGATGATATAAAAGAAGTTTTTCATTGTGATGACAGTGCTTATCAATCATCAATCAATTAATGAATCACAAAATCTGTAGTATGGTTCTAGATTCAGAAAATGCTGCTAACGATAGTGAAGAAAGTGACAGAGAAGTTACTGAAAACAAGACAATTTCGGTTGACAAGTTAGTCAGATTCTCGAAACAAGAGTTACAGGACTGTGTATCTGCTTGGAACACATCTCATACCGAAACTGTCAAATGAACAATGTAACTGAACAAGAGAAATGGACCGTGAAATCAATGTAACTGAGCAAGAGATTATGTCTGTCTACAGAATTAAAGAGAAAGTATTAGCACAAAAAAACAAAGCAACTTAAATAACTAACATTGAAAGAAATGTTTAATAAGGTCAACAAATAAATATTTTTTTCTTTTTTTGTTAATTTTGATATTGTTTAGATCATAAATGCTTCATTATTTCATAAATCACAATTTCATATTTTTGCCATCTTACTAGATTTAAACTGATGATCTAATATCCGGAATTACCGATGTCTTGATGGTCCAGATTTTGGACTTTGTACTGTATAATTCAGGCTTAACTTCCTCAGCATGTGATAGAAGCAAACAAAATTTAATTGAACGTGTCTTAAGACACCAGTCTCATAATACATTGCCAGTAGTGTATAGTGCATGCTAACTGAGCTTTATGATGATACCCACAACTTTAAATGATTGAAGATTTTTAAATGTTCAAAACAAAAAGCAAAATTTTCCTTTTAATGAACATTGTTGAGAAATAGTAATAAATGAAAATGATACAACAAAATTTTCATTGTGATGGCAATGCCTCAATGATCAATCAACTAACAGACAGCGGAATCTGTAGTATGGTTCCATACATCCAGAAAATTGCTTCTGATGGTGAAGAAAATGACAGACAGTTTGTTGCAAATGAAAGAAATTTGATTGGCAATTTAGGGGGAATTCTCAATGAGGCAATTACAGGACCTTAAAAAAAATTATGTCTATCTATAGAATTAAAGAGAAAGTATTAGCACCAAGGGAAAAAAAGCAAGTTAAACAAATCACATTGAAAGAATTTTTTGTTGTTGTTGTTTCAAATTTTTATTTCTTTAAAAGTCATAAATGCTTCATTATTTCATAAATTCCTGTTTTATAGTTTTATAATTTCTACATGTCTTCTTACTAGATTAAAGCTGATGATCTAATATCTGGAAAAATTCCAAATTTGGAAGCCAATGTTGCAATGAGTCCGGATCTTGGACTTTGTACTGGTGGTGTATTTAATTACGACAAAGCACACTAGGGCTATCTGTCTAAGGGGAGGGATGCCTTCGTGGAGGACTTGTAAGGATCTTAAGTTTTACTAACGTTTATTTTATTTTAAAACTGTACTATCACTTCTTATTTTCTACTTCCAGCCAGAATTAAATGTTTTAACTTGTTTATGCAAATTGTCTTGCTAACGCCCAAGTATTTAAGTTGTGAAGGAAGCAAGTCGCTTGCCACTGCAGTTTTATGAGTTTTCACTCAGTTGCTGGTTGCTTTTAAGGCCAGAGGTTTAGCCCTCTTGATATTTGAAAATGTATTGTCGTTTCAGCAGCTTGGCGTATTACATACGTACCCTTTTAAATAAAGGCCAGTCTTAGTGCTATGCATTTGTATACTAATTTAAAGTTAGCTTTTAGTTAGAGTTTTAGTTAGTAGTTTTATATTCTTACGTTCAGACCACAAGTGGTTGGTCTTTGTATCCCTAAGTTCGGGAGTACTTGTAAAAGTATAGAAAATAAAGGATTTCATATACCCTTCCTGCTTGTGCCGTCTGTTACACACAAATCTTGAACATAGCTTGAGTAAGCTCTCTGTTCCTATTCAGGACACATCATGTTTCCAAAGCAAATCAAGAGAAACACAAGTCTTGATCCTCGGAACCGAACTACCAGTGTTCAGCGACTTTGCCGCTGGTGGACGCTGGACTTTGTACTATATAAATTGTTTTTCTTAAATCTGTGATTCTTATTATAGTTAAAAAAGTGAAAAATTATGTTGCAGACCACCTTTTTTTTTTTTTTTTTTTTTTTTTATCAAAAACTCTTTATAAATTTTTCTTAAAAATATATTCATTGATGATTTTGTATAAAATAATTTAGCATTCTATTTATTTATTTTTTTCCCTCTCATTTAGTTGAAGATGAACATTCCCAAGAAGAATTTGTGGAAAATCTTCGCCAAAAATATGCTCACATATTTACTGCCAGCCAGCCAAATTCCCAACCAAATGTTGTCGTCGACAAGTATCAGTGGACAATTTATAACAGTTCTCAAAATTTACCAGCAGTCCTAAATGATCCACGTAGGACAAAACGGGAGTATGATCTTTTTACAAAAACTTGGGGTGATAGTTTTGTGGAGTCTGCGAGTTTTCCACCTACATATTTACCAGAAATTTCTGCCTTGCATTTCGAAACATATATAAAACATGTAAGGAAGGTAAACAAACTTTTGTATATTTTTATTTAGATAATAAAATTTTAGAATTTTAAATTTGATTAAATGAAAATGTCTTATAAATATAAAAAGCAAGAAGTTGTCCAAGGTATTAAAAAGTCTACAAAACAAATTGTCCAAAGTAATAAAAAGTCCAGAAATCTATATTTGTTAAAACATGAAATGAATGACATGTTAGATTTAGAAAATGAAACTAATATAATCAAAATGTCAAAAAATAAATAAATCATTATGCTGTTTAGATACATATACACACACACACATGTATATAGAAATTTATAGGCAATGAGCTAAAAAAAATTGTAACTAAATAGCATGCTAAAAGTTGCAGTAATTTATTTGTAATAATAATAATAGTATAGTCATAATTTTAAATTTATATTCTATTGGGATAGCAGCAAAAAGAAACAATAAAAAGAACATTGTAGTCAAAATTTAAAACCATTGTAGAGAACTAAACTAAGTGAAACTCAAAAAGTTTTGCATTCTTCGTGACATCATCATCAGGGGGTTGATGTTCCAAGAGATTTTAAAAACTTAGCCTTTTTCTGAACTAACTAATGAACAATTTAGTAAGGCCAAAAAATTTTAATAAAGTTAAAACTTGTGTGAGAGGAACAGCTATAATGTAAGTTTGAAAACAAACCAAACAAGAATATAACATACCAGTATTAGTCACTACACATGACCAGAGCTCCTGCAATATGGTAATGTAGTTAGAAGATAAATTTTTAAAAACACAAAATAGGTTTTGTTAGAACAACAGGAAAAAAAATAATAATGTCAAGCTTACAGTTTTAATGCTGATATGCAAGCTTACAGGCATGTGAGACTCTGCAATCAATTTGCAGAATATGTAATAATCTTCGGCCAAAGTACAAGTTTTTTATTAAAATTGCAGAATTATTCCTAACTATTTTTAGTAATGTTTATCTTTCAGTGTAAAATCATTGTTCACTACTTTTAATAAAAGTTATTCCTGTAATTTTCTGCTCAATTTCTGTTTTTATTATTATTTTCACATCCTTTAATGCATTTCAACAATGATTTTTAAAGACAATCCTATCTACATATCTGCTTTCAGTATTGAAAGTAATGAATATAAGTAAATGAGGTTGTAAAACATACACCAAATTAGGACAGATTGTAACATATTGAAATATAGCAGATCAAACTCTGCTTGATGATCTTGACCATGAGAATAAGCATCAAACTGATATTACATTACTTTTATGATACTTTAATTAAAAAAAGAAAAAAAGAGTGATCTTGATTCTACTATTTCTTATAGCATTGTTGTATAGCATTGTTGCAAAATGCTCAGTTGCAGTGAGATAGCTTTCCCACAAAACAGTTAGGGTTGCCAGAAAGTGGCAGGAAAGAAATTGTCGATTGGTGATATATGGTAATAAATTTGGCGATACACCGTAGATGGAGTGAGAACATGTTCTTAGCAGTTTTTTGGGGAAAATAAATTCTTGGGAATGTAGGTTTGAGATATATATATCCTGCTTGTCCTGGTTGAGAGTAATGTCCTAGAGTTCAGAGGTTAGCTTGAGAGCAGTCGACCAAGTTAAGAGCTGTACTGAAGTGCTTAGCCGTGAAACTGTCTTTTCAGTTTTAGCCTGTGTTGAGTATTTTAGCGTTTTGTCGTAGTTTTTTGACAAGTGTAAACATGTCTTTCGAACGGTCCTGTGTATAGTGCTTACTGGCAAATACATTGAATTTAAATTCTTCATCAAGTGTTATCATCAGTTACTCTAAATTCACGACCCTTAGAATGCAACGGTATTTTTCATGTGTAATATTACAAGGCCTTATTCCAAGTCTGGATCAAGCTAGAACTTCATAATCTTTTACTTTCATACAAATGAGAAAGAAAAATATATTGTGAATGTGTAATATTATTAATTTATTTGTAATTTCTAATTATCTGCATCTCCTCCAAAAGGTTGCCAGTTCATTGTTGGCTAAATTTTCTCCAAGCTAATATGCAAAAAGAATTTTGAAAATGATGCCACACTAAGAATTTAATAAAAAAGAAAGGAATCAAGAAATTTTTAAAAAAGAAAGAAACATCTATAACAAAACATTTACCTTTCATGCTTTTCAGGATGATATTTGTAATCAGAAAGGGCCTTATTTTGTCCTGGTAATATATTTAATTTTGCATAATTTGTCAATTAAACTGTATGATATTTGCATATGCTTCATGAATATTGTGTTAAACGTGGCATATAGTATTATTCAGTGTTTCAAAACTGACTAATACAACTTGGTAATAAAATTAAAACGTTTTTTAAGTGGAAAAGTGTTTTATTTTTTCCACTGTCATTCGAGTTTTATATTTATATATATATCTGCCAATTTACAGGGCATCCGAAGAAATTCTAAAAAATCTCTAAAGGAGCAACCTCATGAGAAAAGGCAACAATCTAGCTCTGCTGTAGAAAAATCAAGTAAGATAAAATTCATAGTTTGCTAGGGTGTTACTAATTATAAGAGATATAAATAATATTTTTTCTTTTAATTGTAGTCTTCCCCTGCACTTTGTATATAAGCTATAATACTGAGTTAATTTTTCTTGATTGTATTTTGGTTACTTTCTTGTTGGTTGGGAAAAATTTTTGAAACAATTTATGACCTGCTGTTACTAAATGAATTTTCTTGAATTATAGTATAGGTATATTTGCTGTGAAAATACAATATTTCACAGGGATTTTTTTATCAGTCTTTTACATAAATCCTTGTTTAATAACGAAGCTAGCATTGCAGAATTTTTTTACACCATCATATCAGAAAATAACTTGCCATTTTTTTTTGGGGGGGGCAGTTTTTTTAAAGATTGATTAACCCTCTGAGTGGCATGAGGTCATGAGATTTTTTGTCACTTGCTACATATTAGCTTATAAATTAAGATATTTTGCTTTTTTTCTTTTTTTAATAATGTAAATTTAATCTTAATGAACGTAAGTTTATGAAAATAGAGGCTGAAATAAGTAAATATTTGAATTTAGCTAATAAATGCTGCATAAATACAGGCCTTCCAAAATTAACAAAGCAAGATTTCAATGAATTGAATGTAATTTTATATAATTGACAGATTCGAAATGAAAAGTAATATCCTATACTTTTTATTGTTATGCTGATTAGAGGGAGTAATTATCCTATGTTTAAAAATGACTTTCTGCAGATTATAAAGTATATAAAAATAACTTTTAAAATTACATATTTTTTAATTAAATGCGTTAAAAATAAAAAAAAATAAAAATTCTTATATTTATCACAGTGTTTTTGATCTTATATGAATAAAAATAAAATGGGTGTTCATCTATTAAAACATTGGGACATTAACAAAATTTTGCAGAATAATAGAAGTGGCAGTGTAATGATGTATATAAAAAATATATTGGCAGGCAAAAAAAAATTAAAGGAACAAGTATGAAAAGTTGCTTTGTGTTAATTCTGTGAAGTCCAGTGAAAAGTGATTAGTAGCTCAAATCAATATTATCTCACAGTCCAGTGGGATTCAGCTACGCTTACAGACATATGCATATTTTTTGTATTACCAATATAACACATGAGATGGCTGCAAGAAAGAGGGCTGTGTGCAAAGAAAATCATAGTTTCCCCCCCTTCCCAATTAACTCAAAATCTCATAGGCTGTAAAATGCACCACTTGCAATGATACAGGTATCATCATTGAAGTGTCATGGACTGGAGCCAACTTCATTTAATGAATCTGACTAACATAATTTCTGGAATTCGTGATGAGAAGGGGTTAATAAATTTAATAATAAAAAAACAAGGTAATTTCAGTTAATGTATTATTACAAAATTAATCAATACCAATTATAATGTACTATTTGGTTGTTTTTCATATGCAATAATTTTCACAAGTATAGTTTATTTATGTAGATATGAATGTTTACTTATTCATATATCTTAATATTTAATTTTCTAGGTTCTAAATGTTCAGACATTGAAGAAATACCCAAAGTGAGTGAATTTTTTCCCCCTGTAAGTTCAAAACTGTATCTTGAGTTATATTACCGTATTTACGTGAATCTAATGCGCATCGTTTTTGGCCAAATGTAGTTTTCAAAATTGAGGTGCGCATTAGATTCGAGTGCAAAGTTCGCCGATGACGTCAACCAAATTTCTCGACTACATTTACCGATACATTTATCATTCACACATTATTGCATAGAGGATACAAACTGCAGAGTACGTAGTCATGAAATGGAGGGCAAACAGAGAAGAATGTCATATGACGCTACTTTCAAACATAAAGTAATTCTTTATGCTGAAAAAAATGGCAATAGAAAGGCAGGGAGAGAGTTCAACGTAGCTGAGAGCAATGTTCGCTTGTGGCGGCAACAGAAATTGGCACTGTTTGCAACTAAAGCTAGTAGAAAGAAATTCACTGGCCCTCGCAAAAGAAGACACCCTAAAATTGAAGAAAAAGTTTTGGAATTTGTATGCGAAAGGAGGAAGAATGGACAACCTGTGACTAGTGACACCATAAGAAATAAAGCAAAAGAGGAGGCTGAAGTTCTTGAAATACCGAAACAAGAGTTTAAGGCTAGCTGTGGATGGGTGGATCGGTTTATGAAGCGGATGGGTTTATCTCTAAGACGCCATACAACAATATGCCAAAAGCTTCCTGCAGATTTTGAGGGAAAACTACTAACATTTCAGCGGTATGTCATCACACTTCGGAAGGAAAAGAATTTTTCAATGGGGCAAATTGGCAACGCTGACGAGACGGCAATTTGGTTTGATATGCCTCATAACTACATCATTACGGAGAAGGGGACTAAGGAAGGTATCATCAAAACTTCGGGATGTGAAAAACAACGCGTAACAGTGATGCTGGCAATAACAGTAGACGGGTGCAAACTTCCCCCTTTCTTAATCCTCAAACGGAAAACATGCCCTAAAACCCCTAAGAATGAAAAGCTGTTCCCAGATGATGTCCTGATTCGAAACCAAGAGAAGGGGTGGATGACGGAATCATTAATGCTTGATTGGCTCCAAAATGTATGGAAACACCGTCCCGGTGGGCTCTCTAATCCACCATCAATGCTTTGTCTGAACGCATTTTGTGGTCATCTCACCGACGACGTAAAAAAGAAGATGCACAGCCTCGGCAGTGATCTTGTTATCATTCCTGGAGGGATGACGTCTGTGTTACAACCCCTGGACGTTAGTATAAATAAACTTTTTTAAGGGGTACGTTCAGGCGGAGTACGAAAAATCGTTTTGTGAGCCAAACCGTGTATTGACCCCGTCAGGAAAAATTAAGCGTGCTGCACCGCACATTGTTGCACACTGGGTTTCTGCTGCCTGGAAAAGCATCGAAGCACCAATGATTGTGAAATCTTTCAAGAAATGCTGCATTTCAAATGCATTGAATGGCAGTGACGATGACGTGCTCTGGAACGCCGAGGATGAGGATGACGATGATGAGGAAAGAAGAAATGAATCTGCTTCTGACGAAGAGAGCTGCGAGCATTCCAGTGATGAAAACATTAGTGAATAAAGACGTTTACTATTAATCACTGATTGTAGAAACTGTTAGCTAGATAGAAATGTTACAATTTATTTCATGTTCATATTTTATGATAGATACCGTATATACGGTAGTGCTAATTAACAATGATTGTTTCACATGACAATAGCCCACTAATAGGTTAATTCTATGTTCTGCTGCTTTATGTATAAATCCATGGTTGTATAAAATATGGTATCTAAATTTAAATAAAATTATCATACCATTAATTGATAGTTTATATACAAATCCATTGTTGTATAAAATAAGATTCAATAAATTCCTCATATCATTGATGCACATTACATTTGCCGACAAACAATTTTTTTATTATTTAAAGTTTTAAAATGGGGATGCGCATTAGATTCGATGGCGCATTAGATTCGCATAAATACGGTATTATAATTGTTGTAACTCATGATTTAATATTATTAGCACAGTGTAAAAGTTTGCATTAGGTTTTGGTAAGTTGCACAAAAGTAAATCTTGTTTCTTAATTTAAACAAAGAAAAATATAGTAGCACTGGCAGTTAAAGTCCCATTTATCTAAAATTCGTATGACCCTATGCAGTGCAGCTAAATGACATTGAATGAGTGAATCTGAAGACTGACATCTCCATTATTTTTTTAGATAACATTTGTCTGGTTTGTTATCTAAAAAACCTCACTTTGCGTTCTTTTTATTTGTTTTGTTTTGCTGTATTTTCTCACCACAAGTTGATGCAAGTTTGGTTTGAATTATTTCCTAAACAGATTCTTCTTTACTGCAATTGATTTCATGGCTTGGGATTTGTGAAGGGATGAAGAAATATGAATTCTGTTTCAGACATGTTCTTCATAAAAGAAAGCTTGTGTCTGAATAACCAACTTCTGAAGTTAAAATGTTACTCGAAGTCAAAATGATATGCAGCTTTGTCTTTTGTCGGGGAGGGGGAAGTGTCATAATATAATACAGATGTGGCTTGGATCACGCATTCTTTTAATTATTGCAGTATGATTCATTTACTCATATTGTTAGAGGTTAACATTATTGTCTACCAGCACAGGATCCACAAGGCAGCTGTAAAACAGTTTCGATTGTAGACCTGTCTCAGTCCTATGTAAGTACCCTAAAAAAATTATAATTTAATAAAATTCTCTGCCTTTTGTTTCTCTGCTGTTACTAGTAATAATTGTTGGCTATATTGCATTTCCTGATGATACTGCCAATGTTGTTAGTACGCTATATTGATGTTATGCTAGTGTCAACCATATGTAGAACTAATCATATGCATGTAACAAACTTTTGAAAGTGACTAATATACATTAATCCTGTTGCTCGCTATTACACCATTATCAAGATTTTTAATTTATCATATTGATGATATGCTAGTGTCTAATGTTGGTTGAATGACAGTGTTGGTTCTATGAAATGACAATTTTATGCAATCTCAATCCCATGCAATGTCAATTCTATGCTGTGTCAGTCCTATGAATAAAACTCTTTTACTTTAGCTAACCTATTAACTGACAGTACTGAAGAACAGTTCCTGCCCACTACATCTAAATTAAAAAGAACAATCTCTGAAATTGGTATTATGGACAGGAAGGGCTAAGAACTTTGAATTCTCTGCCTCTCAGAATAGCATTAAGCAGTTATTGAAGATATAAATACTCAGACTGATGTTGTCGTAATGTCTTCATTCTTGTACCCTAGCCTGTGAATTCCTTTAGGTTGCAGGATTGTTTAAGCTGTCATCACTGTATATATATATGCCTTTACTTTTCTTTCATCTTTTTGATGGATGATTAAGTTTTTTTTTTTTTTTTTAATTCGAGAAAGAAAAAAACTTTTTAGATGGTCACATATCCATATATTCTAAATAATCATTCTACAGATTTTTGGCAATTGATAATTAAATTTCCACAGTTATGTTATTAATTAACGAGTTATGAAATATTATCAATAATAATATACTATTGATAACCGCCTGATTAAGATGAAATAGTACTTTACTCTTATAATCCCTTGAATCTCCTGGTGATCTGCTAATATAAGATGCATTAATTTGAATTTTACTAATGAACTGAATATCTTTTCAGATATTTTTGCAATCAGATTTTAATTTAGAAGATCCCGAAACTTTCAATGCTGTTATACCCTGGTCACAGTTATATAACCAAGGAGGACATGACAGTTCTGTGCAAAAAAATTCTGTCAAGCTCTTACAAGAAAAGGTATACATGTATTTTCTGCTTAATAAATAGTTTTAAAAGTCTGTATATTTCTTTGAAATAAATGTATAATGTTAACTCTCGATTTTGTCTCACTACTGCTATTTCTTTATATATACAATAAAAAGTCTTTAATCTGGAATGATCTATAATCTGGACCTCAAAGCTATAAACTTTCTGCGCATGCGTAAATCCATAATGCGTTTACGCATGGGCATAATACCTTTATGCATAATACGTTTACACATGTGTGTTTAATGTATAACGGACAGTATAAGCTAAGCTAAAATTATCTAATTATCTATTTCAGTTAATGTTGCTGATTGCGTTGTTCCTTAATCTTCTAATTGGATCCGGCTTATTATTTTTTCCCAAACTGTTAGAGCAATTTTATAAAAGTAAGCTTGAACTTTCAATTATGTCAAAGAATTTCCGATTCTGGAGCTGCCAAAGGATCTACAAAGCAAAAGCATGTTTTGATGTCCATCAAACAAAAAGTGGAATTGCTGCAAAAAATGTATAAAGGCATATCCTTTGTTTCTCTAACCATTCCGAAATCTGTTTATCAATTTCACGCTGCTCTGCGGGGGGGGGGGGGGGGTCGCGGCGTGCAATGAACTGGAAATTGATCTGCCAGCACTATCCTTTTCTTCAGGGCAGATGTTTTTATTTTATTCGGCGTATAATTCCTTACTAAATGTAGTATTTCATCTTGATGTACTCCGTCTTTGATTTGATTTAAATCAAATTCCTTGTCATTATAAATATCACGAATACACATCAAATAGTTTTCTGGTTGCAATTTTCTAATTTCAACTATGCGTAATGTATGCTTTACGTGTGCGTACGTTGAAAGAAACGTTTAATAAAGTAAACAAATAAATATTAAGCTTTTTTTTTTTTTTTTTTTTTTTTTTTTTTTTTTGTAAATTTTGATACCCTTTAGATCATAATTGCTCCTTATTTCATAAATTACGGTTTCATATTTTTAATTTTATAATTTTTGCATGCCATCTTACCAGAAATTGATGTTCTATAATCCGGAAAAACTGATAATCCGAAGTCCCGACGAGTCCAGATTAAAGACTTTTGATTGTATATTTAAATTTCAATTAATATGCTGTAGATATTTATATGTAATTATTAATAAATTGTTATTAACTAACTGCTAATATTGTATCATTAGAGATTTTGGCAAATCCCTGAATATTTGCATTCTGTCTTTCATTGTTCATATTAATATTCATTATTTCTTTTAATTGTAAAAATAATTGCTTGGAAACTCTGATATATCATTTTTTCGCATTGTTTGCGATATTTTTCTGTCTACTTCATGTATATTGCCATTGCCAGGATCGCAATTCGGAGCTTGACATTTATTCTGATGTATAAATATTTTGTATTAGTGTAATATATTATATTAGGCATGTGCTAAGAATTACCATTTTTACTATGGATTGTTAGTCCATTTTTACTATGGATTGTTTGTATTTTAACTGTTTGTCCTGTCCTTGTGTCTATCTTGAAGAAGTACACTGAAATTTATGAAATGTCTGAATTTCAGCTTTATCATAAGATGAATTATTAATGTATAAAATATAAAATTAATTAAATAGTTCCAGTTTTGTTATAGATTCGTGGATACTTTCAGTAGATTTTATATGAAATATATGCTTATCATTAATAAAATATTTATTGTTCAAGGGTAACTGGTAGAATCTTGTGATACATAGGAGATGGAACTGTGTATTTTAACAAAACACCTAATTAAAACTCTTAAAAAGTTTAATATGAAAAGTAAAATTGTATCACACTGCTGTGCAGATTTTGGTAATGGTGAAAATATGATGCAGATAACTCAAATATAGATATCTAGGGAGTAACAATACAGAACAAACCTGATAATCATGCAAAATTAAAATAAGAAATAAGATAAAAATTGTTAGGAATTCATGCATTGTGCTCATGTTGTTCATGTATTTACATGAAAAGAAATTGATTAATTGTCTTTTCTCTTAACATGTATAGAAATAACTGTAATTAAAATACAAAGTGTTTTACACTTTTTTTTTACGGCAAGAGAAGAAATCTAAAAGAATGCATGTTTGCAGCTATTGAGTATCCATCTTCCCTCCAAAAAACAGTATTAGTACAACACGATAACAAATTTTGGAACAGCTAGCATATAACCCCATTTTTTTCCCCAACCATAAATGTTGCCAATCTGTTATACTGTGTTCTGGTCACCAGATGTAAGCAAGCAGAACTTTCATGTAACAGTTAGGCACCCAGATTTTCTATTTATTATTATTATTATTAGATTTGGAGTGCTATTAAATTAGTAAGTAACACTGTAGTGTTTTATTGATGTTTAAAATAAGTATTTTAAATTTTTTAATGTTAAATCAAAAAATTTGTTGAAAATTTTGATATTTCTCATTTTTATAAAATGTAATTCAGATTATTTCTACATTTTTTGCTTTGAAAAGGAAGATGGAATTCCATTCAACTTATATAAATTTTTGGGATACCCCCCCCCTCAATTTGTAGCTGTGAGAGTGTGGGAGAAATTATCCAATGAGTAAACAAATTATTTCATTCAAATTCTTGAAATTATCTAATTTTCGGCAATAACCGTTTCTGAGGGTGAAATTTCCATTCAAATTAATTCGCTTAAATTTTTATGCATGTCAATTTTATAGCAGACATAAATTTAATGATGTGAAAAACAAAATTATTTTTGAAGAAGTTTGAATAGATTTCACTATATCTGACCCTTGAGAAAACACACAAAAAAGACCATTTAAATAAAAATATTTAATAAAATAATAAAAATAAAATTTATTGATAAGATTTTCACAGTACTGATGTATGCTAAATATTGATTAATAATTCCTTAGAGTCACAAAGCAAAAGTCACCATTCAATTTCATGAACAATTTCTAAAAATTTTGTAACTGTGTCGAGTCATTTTGCTGTACACGCTTTGAGAACATGTATTCTACTAAAAGTTTCCAAGGTAGCCGTGATTTAATATGCTACCATGTACACTGCACAAAACAAGGGGGGGGCAGTTCTATATCTACCGCTCTACTGGGCTGATTGATGAAATTCAATTTGCGTTTTTATGTCTCAAAAATGCGACGTAGGATATATATTACAGTTATATATGGCCTTGTTCTAATGTAGGTATTTTGACACAAAATTGAATTTTTTCTAAAATGACATGCAATTTTTTTTCTATATTTCGATTCTATGACTCACTATGTCAAACTGCCCAATTTTGTAAAACTCACATGGGTACTTTTTAAAAAATTAGCCCTCTAAATTTTAGCTCCTCAATGTTGTTTGAATTTTATTAATACAGTACAAAATCCGAAATCTGGATGTCCATTATGTGGAATGATCTAAAATCCAGATCTTAAAGCCACCAACAACGTTTTTCTGGTAGGCTTCACACATGCGCGTTTGATTCTCCCCTCCATGCGTAATAAAACATCTGGAGAGTCATAATTCTTAATTTCACTTCGACACTAAATAAAATACCTTGTTATTGATTGAAGAAACAATCATTTTAGCATAAATTTGTACGATCAGTTACCTGGCGAATCACTATTTATTATACTTTCCTTTTGTCACTGCATGTTTATCAAAACATGACAACTTGAGTAATGATTCATGTAGCAATGCCTAAAAAAATTTTTTATGTTAGTAATTGAATAATAAAGGAGTATGGTAACTTTTTATGTTAACATTACGCTTGGCGATGATTACAGATTTAAGCTAAAATGCTCTCAAAAATGTTGACGAGGAAAAATTTACCAAGCATTTCTTTCCGTATCCTAAAACTAGATTTTGTTGGTGATACTCATAGACCCAAAGATTACATTTAGAGCTATTTAAGAATAACTGACTTATATTCTCATAAACCTAGAACCAGCTCCAGCGCTCCTATGGCCACACCGAGTCGCATATTTTAGCGACCCACAGAGACTGCATCTGGCAGTAAGATATCTAGTGCCTGCCCTCAGTAAAGCTTAAGTATATGTGAAAATTTATTTATTCAGAACTCTGATGAGCCTTAAGCATGTGCAAGAAATAGACATAAGTATAATAAATAACTAAACTAATACAAGTCAGGCTTAATTGTCTCAGTACACTATAGAAGCGAGATAAAATTTAACGAAACAACTTGTCATTAGTCGCCAAGCTCATGATGCATAGTCAAATATGTATAGTAAAGGATAGCTAAATTTGATGATGATAACCACTAATTTTAAAGATTTTCCAAAGGTGAAATTTTCCAATTAACAGATTTTGTAAAGAAATGTGGAGAAGTGGTAATAAATGAAAATGATATAAAAGAAGTTATTCATTGTGATGACAATGCTTCTCAATCATCAATCAATTAATAAATGACAAAATCTGTAGTATGGTTCTAGATCCAGAAAATACTGCTACCAGTAGTGAAAAAAGTGACAGAGAAGTTACTGAAAACGAGAAAGTTTTCATTGACATGTTAGTTGGAATTGTCAAAACAGCAGTTACAGGACTCAACAATGTAACTGAACAAGAGATTATGTCTGTCTATAGAATTAAAAAGAAAGTGTTAGCTCAAAAAATGAAGCAACTTAAACAACTTACATTGAAAGAAATGTTATAAATATTAAGCTTTTCTTTTCTTTTTTTTTTTTTTAAATCTTGTATACTGTTTAGATCATAAATACTTCATTATTTCATAAATCATGATTTCATATTTTTTTTAATTTTATAATTTCTACTTGCCATCTCACTAGATTTAAACTGATGATCTAATTAATATCCAGAATTGTCAAAGTCTTGACGAATCCGGATTTCGGACTTTGTACTGTATCACCCTTTTTATTAAACTGACTTGATTCCTTTTTCCAGAATTTAAGGTTAATCCAAATATAATTCGCCCATTTTTTTATGAATTATTTTTAAAGTTTGTAATTTTAAGTATTTTCTAGAAATTTTTCAAA